TTTTGCAGTTGCAGGTTGGATGGTGAATGTAGAATCCTATGTGTGGAGTGTCTTATTGCACCCTATTATTTGCTTAACCTTCCTATACAACCCATGAATGTGTTATGTAATCCATAATCTGAAACCTGTGTTTGTTCGTCACCATTTTCAGAAAAGTTCACTTGAGCCTTTTGACATGAAATCCCAGAGCTGTCACTGTTGTTAGTTCACAAACAAAGCAACACAGCGACCTGTGTTCAAGTGTATAGCTGTGGTTCATTTGCTTAAATGGCAGCAGGACATTCCACTGAGTAACCCTCTACTGATAGTCACTAAGAATGCTTCTAGCTTTTTAAAATTAAAGTTAGCATGACTGTGATAGCAATGTAGAAATAAATTCCTGAGAGTGGAAAGACTACTCCAAGCTTGTAAACATGTGAAAGATTCTCTGTCTCTCTGTCTCTCTGTCTCTGTCTCTCTGTCTGTCTCTCTGTCTGTCTCTCTCTCTGTCTCTCTCTCTCTCTCTCTCTGTCTCTCTCTCTCTCTCAAAAAAGTCAAACTAATCTCTTCTCTTCCCAAGAGTATATGAGAGCACTTATTTCCCCTACATCATCATCTGTACAGATTTTGCCTGTCCTCCCACACCCCAAGCAAATAGATTAAATAAATCAGTTGCCAAACATCGCATTAGCTATTTTAATGAATATTTCTTTCCTGAGTTACATTAGAGTCTTAAAAAACACATGTGTTTTTTACTATAAAGTGGAAAAAATGGTGTGAAGAGAAAAAAGATGCCAAGAGACAGAAATACAAACTTCACGGCACTGGGGTCATCAGTGAGTGCTACTTGCTTGGATAGGCCAGCAAGGATAATTTGTCAGATTTTTCAAATTAACTTCATAAGAATGTTGCATTTTGTTCTTTAATTCTTTGACAGTCTGTCATGGCCTCTTGTATTACTTTTTAAATTTCAGCATTAAAAAATCATTTTATTTATTTTAATGGGTTTTTTGAGACAATGCTTCTTGCTTGTTTTGTGTATGTACGTGTGTATATGTGATGTGCATGCATGTGTATGTGTTTGCATGTCTGTGAGCATACATATGGGGTTTGTGTGTGTGTGTATGTACTTGTATGTGTTCCTGTTAAGCTAGAAGTTGATGCCTGGTATTATCCTCAATCACAGGACACTTTATTATAAGGCAGGGTCTCTCACTTAACCTAGAGCTCACTGGTTCGGTAAGTCTGACTAGCCAGCTTGCCAGGTAGCTCTGCCTCCTGAGCACTGGGATTACAGGCAAGCTGCCACAAGACCAGACTTTATGTGGGTGCTGGGGATCTGAATTTTGGTCCTTAGGTTTGTGTACAGGAAACATTCTATCCACTGAGCCATCTCTCCAACCTTAAGTAAGCCCCACATGTCCCAGGATGGCTATGCATGTGGGCCAGTGTGAGAAACAAAGACCCTCCCGTCTTTATAAGAACACTGGATATTCAGAGTACAAAAGTAAGGAAGTTTATCTTATAACTTTGCAACATCAGACATCATCCCAGAATGGTGGACACACTGGGTGAACACAGAGAATAGTTTGTAACCCCTGAATTCGTGAACATCCTCCGTTTCCTCATTAACTGGACAGTCAGGAAGGTATAATCTTGTATGCCATCTAGGTTTTAACCCTCCATCTTTCGATTACAAATGTCCTTTCCAAAACAAAAATTGTATGTGGCTTCATCACTACATTCTACATCTGGTTTATTTTAAAGCTTCTCAGGAACACAAGTTTGGCTGTTAGCAATTTTCTACTCTAAATTTCTAGTTTGTTTACTTATTCATTTATTTACTTTGTGGAAACGATAGCTAAACTAGCAGGCATTTACAAGAGTCTAGTGTTTTCTGTTCATTTGTAGCTGGGCATACAAAGGTGTCCAAGATACCTTTGAAAACGAACCATCAGATTTGATTTTTTTTCCACATAAGACCCTTTCTCAAAAAAAAGAAAATATATTATGTATTGCTATAAATTAGAATATTCTTCCTTCACCTCCCCTTGTTATCCTAAAATATAGATTTGATAAGAAAGTCAGGATAAATGCTTTATTTCTCCCTTTATTAATTTTATAATAAACAGTACCCAGCAACTTCCAAGAGTGGCTAATTATAGTGGCACTGCTGTTTCTCCCCTACTAACTTGCCCAAAAGGCAAGCTTCTGACATCTCAGTCTTCTATTAGGATAATGTACCATTCTGATTTCTCTGTATTTATTAACTGAATTCTTGCCTTTAATGGGCTCAGGCTCCCTTGGGCTCCCCTGCATCTGAACTGTAGGTAAGTATTTCATCGTTGCCATAAGGTGTGTATAGTAAATGTCTCTAACATTCCTGTTCTTGGTGTTCGTTAGGAGGGCACAGTGGAATTCCTGGTCCCCTGGCATTGGGGATTTTGTTTTTCCCACAAAGGGAAAGGCATTGATGATAATGAGAACTGTTAGGAATGAAAGTTTAAAAAGGTGCTGAACAAGTGTGGTCTGTCTGCAATGTTGAAATGTTGGAACTTTGTCAAATGGCAACGGTCACTGAGTGGTGGTCCACGTCACATCCTTTCCTCTTGATCCATATGCCCTCTTTCACTGTATACTCAGTAATGTAAACAAGTGAATAAATAAATAAATGGATGAATGAATAAATAAATGAATAAAAAAGAAAAGAAAGCTGTGTTCCATTTCTCCCCAGAGTCTGAGTGAGGGATTCCTGCACAGATGCCCTCTTGTTCATTCTTTTCTGTCTTTCACTGGAAATCTGAAGTTTATTTTTAAAATTTTTTTCTTTAAAATATTACTGGCCTTCTGGAGTTTTGTCTCTGCCATTTCTTCTTTGTGCCTCAAATATTGCAAAACTCTTATTAAACATATCACCTTTCTACTACAGGAGCAAGCATTGAAGGAGAATGTAACTTCAGACACCCATATTTTCCCTACTTAGCTTAAGTTAGTAGGTGCTCGGAACAAAGGCTGCTGTCAATGGAGAGTCAACTATTACTTAGGCGTATCTGGAGTAACTGACCAATCCTTGTTGGGTGTGCATATTCTCCTGCCCAGTCTTGAAAGTGGAGCTGAGTGTCCAAAGGTGTGGATGAATAGGAGAACAGATAGGGATTTACATGTCATTTCAACATAGAGGATACAGATTTAAAAAAGAATGGAGGTCTAGATCATTTCATATTTATTATTCTGATGGCTTTTAATCTTTATGAAGACTGTTTCTGCAAACTTAAAAGACAATCATCAACCTGGTGGTTTTCATCAGCAAAACAGCAGTGGCTTAAGTATGATCTGCTAGTAAATACAAAAGGCAGCAATGACAAAGACACTACAAGATGTAAAAAGGGCAGAAATTGGGGCACCAGGAAAACCTAGTTCCATCCACTTATTTGACAAAAAAAAAAAGAAAAAGAAAGAAAGAAAAGAAAAAATTAGCATACACATTAAAAATTCCAGGGAGAGAAAGAAATTGAGTCTTGTCCTGAAACTTTAAGCCCTCACTTGGCACGCAGACAGTCACAGTAGTGTGTGTCTTGAAAAGTTACATGGTTTTGCTAACATCAGTGATTGTGAGACTTTGGACATGACCAGGCAATCAGTCTTTATTGGCTGAAATGTCCTCATGTGTTATGTATCTGTAGTTTAAATTTAAAACCTTCAAATAAAGCTGGGCCTGGTGGTACAGGCTTGTAATCCCGACCACTGAGAAGACCGAAGCAAGAGGATGTCACATCTGGAGCCAACCTGGGCTCCAGAGTGCCTGGAGTTCAGCCCAGGGAACTTTGAGACATCTTGACTTTAAAAAAGAAGTCTGGAGATGGGGCTCAGGGGCAGAACACATGTCTTGTGTACATTGGGCCCCAAGCTTCAATCTCCAGAACCATAGAAGACTTTCAGGTAGTTTGAATCACACGGAATGTGAATGTAGTTAGTGGCAAAGCACTTGCTGAGCTTAGCAACCGAATTTGGTACTGGGGCCCCACTCAATGGAAGGAGAGAACCAGTTCCTGCTAGTTGTCCTCTGAATGCCACATTCAAACGGTGGTATGCATGTACACACACACACACACACACACACACACACACACACACACGGTGGAGGGTATTTTCAAAAGCAGCAGCAAATGTCTTAGAAAAAAAAAACCTAGATCTTCATTGAGAAAATAATCATTTAGGGGTGTTGCTAGACATCACTATTCTAACATTGGATGCAGGAGGGAAGCATTTATACTTCTTTTCCTAAACAATTTGTATTTCAGAGTAATTTATAGAGTTGTGAGAAAAATACAAAATGTATGTCTATTGGATTAGTGGATGTGAAAACCTTTGATAAACATTTCTTTTACTTAGGGGGACACTTATGGAGGCAGGAGCAAAGGGATTAAGAAGTAAGGAGCCACTTAGTGGACTGCAAAGCCTTCTGGGTCTAAAATTACCTTCTGGCTTCAGAATGTTCTGGAGCAATGGCCGCTGGGATGTGCAGGGAGGTGTAGATAACTGAATCAGAATCACTAGCAAACTGCAAACAGGCCTTGAGAAATGGATGGCCTTACCATGGTGGACCAGAAACTGAGCAGACCAGGGTGGTTCATTCAAGGCCGGT